GTCAGTTGTCGATAAAAATAAATTAGAGTGTATCAGAATAGCAGTGTGCGAATACTTTTATGTACTCGAGAAAGCTGACAACCAATCATTTAAATAATGAATAGCAGCTATGTGGAAATGTTTGATGCAAAACAAGAGGTTAAAGAATGGGTTCCAAAAATAAAAGAATAAAATATTCTACAGAGCTTATCATGCAACAAATCAACAGAATTAAAGTGGCACACTTAGGTAGTAAAAGATGTTGGATAAGGCGTTTCTGAGTGTATAGTACAGGATTCTACTTAGGGAAATACTTAATGGTGGTAATAATACCTTTATTATGCGAAATGCGCCTATTCAAAACACCGAATTTTCTGTGATTCATGTTGAAATAAGAAACTGAGTGATTTCGTTGCATTTCGATTGGTAGGAAGAAAATTTAGGCACCTCAATGATTTAAAGAAGGCAGCCATTAAGCGCTTTTGATTCAGCTCCAGGAAGAAATTGTAAGCGAGACTCTTATGACCAACTCCATTTTACTTTATAATACAACTCTGAATGAAGTGTTTGTGAATACTACATGACCAGGAGAATTAATCTGTTCCATAAGTGAGCTGTTGACTATTAGTCATTCTTTTTGCTGATACTATAGTGATTTTCCTTTTTTCTCAACGATAGCTTATGTGGAAGAAAAGAAATTACACTTTGATTTGACACTAGTAACTAGTGTAATGTGTCTAGCTCTTTGTTTGGTGCAGACTGAATTCTGTCAGTCAGTTTTGCAATGTGGCCACCACTCGACGTAGCTTGCTATCACGGTGCACATTGATTTGATGATATTAGATGGTTGGAGTTAATTGGAAGGAGGCACAGCTTGACCTAGGTTTCATGCTAGCTAACATTCACCAGTCAGCAAGGCTTATCTGTAGCCTTGAAGGAACTCATATCCCTTCTGAGATTCTAACCCGAGTCACCCAGTGCTGCAGTCAGAGACGGTACCTCTGTGCTATTTGGACACCATGATGGCGGGCTACCTAGAATGGTGGCCACATTACAAACCTGACTGACAGAATTCAGTCTGTACCAAACAAAGGACTAGACACATCACAGTAGTTACTAGTGTCCAATCAAAATATCCACTACAGTCCTACAGGAGGTCGGTCGCGAGCCCGAATAGCTCAGTGGTTAACGTCTCTGACTGCATCACTGGGTGACGCGAGTTCAAATTTCTCTTGACGTCAGTTCCTTCAAGGTTATAGATACACCTTGCTTACTAGTGAGTATCAACTAGCACGAAACCTAGGTCAGGCTGTGCTTCCCGCCGATTGCTTCCAACCATCTAATATCATCAAATCATTGTATTTTCACGTTAACAATTAATATGTTTGTATTTTTATTTTCACATCTTTCTACATTGTACTCACAAATTATGACTGTGAAGTGATTGAAGAACAAAACATTAATGAAAAAATTATTGAATAAATAAATAAAACAGGATGAAAGAGGAAAGGAGAAAAATATTGTGATATCAGTTGACTGACTGATTCAACTGTCGAATAACCGTAATTAACAGATCAAAACAGTTGTATTCACAATACAAGATCATAAAGTTATCACGCAATAAATGATTCAGGTGAGCATAGTAATTGTGTTACAGATGCTTAGAAAGAGATAAAGAAAGTCGAAATGGAGCTATTAGTGTGGCGTATTTGAGCATGTGCCCATTGTGAATAAGGCTCGAAACTGTCTGTGCTAGAAAAACATTGTTCTACGGTGGAAAAGTAACTGCGATTTTAGGCTACCAAATCGGTTATCCGAATGTCTGAGAAGTTCTACATTTATTGAAAATAATTCAACTTTCCTGTTGACTGGTTTTACTGGACACTGAATACTCATTCTTTGTTGATATACTGTCTTTCTGTGGGGAGGGATGGGGGATTTCTTCAGACTAACTAGGTAGTAAATAGTTGATAGTGCGTAGGAGTGATACTGGGTTCAAACGTCTTGTTCTTTTACGTGGTTATCAACCGGATTTACTGTTTACTTAAAATGTGGCTCTCGTTGTCTAATAGTTTGTATGGATGATGCTTTGTTGTTTGAAGTACTGAGTGTTGTATTATTGTCAAACTGGGAAGGCTAAATGCTAAGCTACTGTGATCACGAATGACTCCCCATTAGATTGTTTTATGTGTGCCAAACCATACCCGAAGACCGCTTAGTAAAGCCTTTTATTCTTGAGTGTTTGATTAAAGTTCATCTATCAGGCATGGTTGTGCAGTACTCGTTGGTACAAGTGACAGTATACTGTTGTGCACAGTAGTTTGCTAATCTGTTGTAGTGCGATGTTATACACAATTCGGTTGGAATCTCATATTGAATCATCCTTTGCGACTGTTGAAGCTTATCAGTGAATAATGAGTGAAGCCTGTTCCGGAAATGAGAAAATTTACAACAAGTATAAATAAACGGTCTAAATTGTATTAACTGCGAATGTGGTGGGTGCAGCGGTTCAGTAGACTGTGGGATAATACTTGGTGTTTGGAAAAATGAGTGCTTGGTTGGAGCCTCAGTGAGAGCACAACCACTCATTTGGAAGAAAGCATATCCATTCGATCACTAGGAAGTGGCATTCTGGATTCTACTAATAGTCAAAGAGAAAAAGTTAACACCGAAGTGGAAATCAAGACAGTAACTGTGGGGGAGACTATTTTGTGTTTACTATCTTCAGTCTGAAAATATTTTAACGCCTACCTTCTGTTTGCAGTTTGCTTAGTTGTAAAAAAGACATGGAAAGCATGAGAACATCTCATGGAGTTTAGTATTCACAGGTGAATGGCTGACAGCTGTTCTTTTTCAGTAGATTGATGATATACTGCTCAGCTTTGATAGAATTCACTGCCCCACTGTCTGACCACTTTGTGTAATATTAAAAATTACAAAAAGAATGATATATGTCTGTGTATATAATTATCGAGTGATGATATCACGAGCCGACATCAGTCAGGTGTTCATTGTTTACTAGGCAGTACTGGACAGTTGTTTCGTCCTAGTTTGGGACACCTCGGTAACACTTACATGTGAACCCACCGAGGATTGGACTGAATTCTTATAAAACAACATTTGACAATTATTCTAATGCTCATTAGTGGTTCATTACAGACTGGAGGCCTTTGAGTTGCAGTGACGATTCGTGGTGAGTGCTGTTCATCACTTTGGGCGTGTAGACAGATATGTACCAAAGATATAGGCTGGCGGTAGTGCCATTCATCGCGAATTGGGAGAACGTTTTATTCATTGGCAGGTCAATGGATTTCGTCTCACTGGCTGAATGGTCAGCTGGATAGCCTCGTAAACTGAATTTCGTGAGTATGATCCTCTGTGACTGAGGTTATCGGTGGAGAGTTAGTTCGTGAACTAACTTGAGATATGTGTAATTTTCTTTATGATTCACTATTATCACTTGCATTTTGTCAAACGTCGGAGTTATAACCATCCTTTTGCCTTTCTTTTTCATTGGCCTTTTCATTGAAATATAAATTATCTTCGATATAGACTTCGTAACAAAACAACATCAGTTAAAGGATCATTTAATAACAAGGAAAAGTCATGTGTACTCACTTCCAAAAAGTCCCAAAATTAGGACGAAACAGCTGTTTTGTGTTCTCTGACGTGATGTGTAGTAGTGCTATATCTCGCGCTATAATTCAATAATACGGAGGAAGCCTGGACTGAAAGTCATTTGTTAGAATCCCGATGGTATCACCCATTCAGATGCATGAAATGTTGCAAAGTAGATCGAAATAGTTATCCATTGTTCCCTGGTTTGTAATGGACTTTTAGCTGATATCAAGTCGTGACCGAATTTATACCAAAATTAATCAAAAACCCTAGAAGTATAAAATCAGGTGTATATTTCGTTCTTTTAGGCTTCACAATTATTAGTTATGCTTTCCAAGTGACTTAGGTGAAACGCTTCATGCATTCCTGGCCACTGGAAATTTCTAGCTAGATATATGAACTGTGCAACGTAAATGGCACGGATTTTTTATTCCTTCACGTTCCCAGTGGAAGATAAGGCTTCAAGCTAGTGACTTGAAGTTTCTGTAGCAGTGGTGTTTTGTTTTTACGGGATGGGGTTGTTAGCCCAATGCCAAACCTGTCCTCTTTACCAGCCTTAATACGGGTTTAGCGAGGTGAAGAAGTGCGTCCGTGGCAGGGAATCGAACCCCGAATTAGAAAATTCTGAAAATTAATGTCAAAATTTCAGATTTTATTCCTACCTTTGAGTGCTGTGGATCTCCATAGTGATCACACATTACTGAACACTTGATTTGATTTGCCGATAAACAAACTGACTAACTGACTGAGTGAGTTTCAGAGTGGAACTTTGAACAGAATGGAGCAGTTCAAGTTACCATAATCCTAGTTTCACAGAAAAGTAGGGAATAGAGAACACACATTCAAAGGAACTATGATGAACTATGATGAACCTGAGCAATTGCGGATGGTTTTGAGCTTTATAACCAGAAATCACAAGCCTGTGTCATTTAATTTTTTTATATTTTTGTTTACAGCTTGATGCCACACAGTATTTTCAATACAAGTATGGAATTTTCAGCGTGGATATCGGTAGCCCAAATTTTGCAGGCCGACCATAGATATCGGGTGTGCATTGGCACGGTATCGAACCCCGGACCATGTGCATCCCCAGCCGACGCACTCCTTTACCTCGCTAAGCCAGAAATAATACTGGTGAAGAGGAAAGGTTGGGCATGAGGCTAGCAACCCCATCCTGTAAAATAAACACTGCTACAGAAACTTCAAGCCTCTAGCTTGAAGCCCTATGTTCCACTGAGGAACGTGAAAGAAAAAAATAAATCAATTGCTCTTGCGGTTCGTATTTCCTGTAAAGGTTTGTGGGTCCTTATTCCTTCCCTCGAAAATACGTCATTAAGTCCGTTTGATATACGTAAGACACAAATAATTTGCACAATTATTTATCTGAAATTTACAGTCTACTAATGAGTAGTTTACCAATATCAAATAAACATTTCGAAATGTCAAATGGTATGACTACTTTATGCTAATGATTTCTCGTTGATATTTATGAGGCAGAGGTATGTAGAGATGATGAATTTGAAGTATGAAGAAGCGTGTGTTCTGGAATCCACTGCTAGCGAACACCACACAAATAACTTTAAGTAAGTGTAATTATTTACAAAACAAGAACTTGATAAATATTTTTGTTTGTTTTTCTGTCTCTACACCAATATTTGTTGTTGCGTTCATGTTAACTTCTCTCAGAATAAGAATCTCCTCGGTTTCAGTGCCACAGTTCAAATATGCTAGGAAACAGTTTTAATATTTCATGCTTTCAGTTATGAAGTTTACAGGCAGTTGATTGATTTCATGTTAGATTTTGCCATCAACTAACATTAAAAAGGGAATAATTGAAAGCCAGGTAGTACTGGGCACTTGTTTGGTACTAGAAAGAAATGTTTGAGGAATTTTGTATTGTAAAGAAAGGGAGGTTATTATAAGGAGTGATAACATGGCCACCTGATAACTTGAGGGTTCCGAGTTCGGTTCTAGGTGGGCTAATGTGTTCTTACAACTGATAAATGCCAGACTAAGACAATATCCCTCTCTATTGCTCCATCCTGCAAACACGTATATGCAGCAAGAATAGTATATTAAAACACCTTAATCGTCAGGACTTAATGTTAAAGACGAGTAGTATGTCACAGAAAATTGTCAACTAAGTAAGACAGTGTTTAGGGGAGGTGTCTGGATAATGATGCACCTACAGTTCAGATCAGACTGTATAGTCTTTATCCCTTATTGTGAATTTTAAAATGTTAAGGATGGAGTGCTGCTGACTTGTGGTTGTCGTCTAAACTGAATAGAATGCGCCACCAGACACAATACTATAGCCAAATGACCACCTGAAAATATCCCCCCACGCGCGCACACACTCAGATATACACAGAAGTCTGACTCAACTGTGAAAGCACTGACAACCGCTCAAAATTTTATAATTGAAGACAGATGTTATACATAACAAAAACTCACGAATTCAAGCCATAAATAAATAAACAAATCTGATTGGCTGTAAGATTTCGTAAATCCCCTGAAATTCGAGCCGAAATCAAACTAATCAAAATCTGTCTAGTCAGGTTGTCATCTCAGCACATGCATAAATCATGAATTAACGGCTAATAAAAGAAGCTTGTCCCTCTTTATACTTCCTCATTTTTAATAGGTTTTCTATAGGGGAACCACAAGAAGATGATTTCTGGGTCTCTGTACTTTCCTCCCATGTTAAAAAGTTCCCAGATGTGAAGATGGCTTTCATTATATTAAAAGGATAAAAAGTCCCTGATGGCTGAAGGTATCAGACATGTTGATAGGTCATTCATAAACAATAGAGTAATTCTGTTCAAATTCTAGTTCATCCATAACTCTAAGTAGGTCTTTCAAGTGTGACTAGGCAACATGTAAGTCACCATGATCCGATGGTCTTTGAATTTCAGGTGATTAAAAATAGAACTATGTATACTGTTACAATATTATAATTAAGAGAGAAGGTAAGGATTCGACAGGTTCATCTCGTCTAGATTAGATACTACTAAGTGTGAGCAATACAGCCAAACCACATCATACAGGAAAATGAGCTTGGTTTACTCCTAGAAATTTGATGATGATGCTTCAGCTTAATAAATGATAAGAGCTTGCACCACAGAGTCAAGCAGATCATAACACGTACCAAATTACATAAAATTCGTATTTATCAGTATCACAGAGCACAGAACTTTCGTTAAACACAACCTTCTGTCTACAGCTGTCAATATGTCACTGTACATAACTTCAACTAATCTGAATGAGTTATCTGTCAGTCACACGATGACGAGTGATTCCGTTGACAACAACAAGACTCACCTGAAATCAATAAAAAACCCTGTAAAAACAACACTATGAATGATGCTATGATTTGCGTGAAAGGCGTTCACAGCTTACAGGTTATTAAGTATTAGTGAAGTGGCTATGTTATGTGTTTCCTTGTTTTTGATTTGATTTTCTCCGTGCGTATATTTTTGCCCCTTCTTTCGTTTTGTGTGGTTGTTTTTTCTGTTTTTCTAAAAATAGCTACTTTGTTCTAGTTTTATCCGTTCCTCTGTTTATTATGGCATTCTAATTCCCAATTGTAATTTTTATTAATTTGAACCTTAACCGGAAATTATTCTGGAACTTTCCCATCCATCTGATATAAATACACGAATGTACAGCCTAGGTGATGACTTCGTCGAAAAGAAAATTTTCTTCGCTGCAATTGTCTTTTAATAATTCATCGAAGAGTAACTCTTTTCAGTGATATCAGTCTCAAGCTGTACAGTAGCATATATATGTATATGGATAGCAAATTCTCTTGGTAAAAAAAGGAATATTTCAAAAGATGTGTTATTACTTTGATTGGACACTAGGTAGTAACTGAAGATTGGGGATACGCCTTGATGACGAGTGTCCACAAGCACGAAACTTAAATCCAAGGCTTTATACCAATAACCTCCAACCATCGAATGACTTGTCAGTAGAATTACTTATTACAGAAAGCATTAATCGGGTAGAAACTGAAGTAAAGTTAACTAAGCAAATTGGGTGACGTAATATAATTGACATAACTGAGTAGAGTTCAGTTAAAATTGGAAATAGAGTTAGCGTGAGAATAGTGAGAATAAGGAGTAGAAGTATAATAGTGGGGAGAGAAAATGATACAATGAATACAAAAAAGTATGTGTCTGGTATTTGGACAGATAAGATCCATTGTTAGTTCAGTGACTGAACAAACTTCTGTATACAGAAGAAGTTTAGTTCGTGCTCACTTTAACAAGATTTCTGTGTATTCTCTATATGACTGTGAGGTTGCTTTGCGGATTCTTCCAGTGTCTAGAGTTGATCAGGTGTTCCAGAATAGAGCTGAAGGGGGATCTTTTTTCTCCCTTATAAAAGCATGAGGGCGATTGTCCGATGATACGTTTGCATAGCAAACTCGGAGTACGGCCGACATACCTAGCTCCATAGAATCAGGTGAAATAATAGATACACACTTTGATGAGGCTACCAGCGGTAGCTTATCCTTTACGTTAATGTGAATCACACCACTTCACTGATCTAGTTTTCTCCTTTGTCCATTTTGTGTTTTCAAATGGCAGCTCTACGAATCATCATTGAACAAAACATAGAATGGCAGTGAAACCACTACCTCAACTTTATTGACTTTGGAAAGGCCTTCGATAGGCAGCGTTGACCGAGAAGTAATTTAGAAATTACTTCAGCCCTATGGAGTGTAATGACTCAAAATCCTTATCAACCTCAATCAACAACTGGCTATATGACAATGTCACGTGTCAGGTGATTCACAACGAAAAACTCTGCGAAGCTTTTGAAGTGAAGACATGGGTTAGACAAGGCTCACTACCGATGACATTCCTAAATGTGGTGGACTGGATCATGCTCCAGACTGTGGGTATCAAGAAGACAGGAATACGCTTGGCCGATAAAAAGATTCCAGGTGATCTGGATTCCTCAGATCATTTATGTCTAATGTCATGCAAAACCCGAATACTTACATACGAAAACCAGCAAACTGGCAGAGAGGCTGGTAGCAAAGACAGGAATCCAAGTGAGCATAGAGAAGAGGTAGGTGATGAAGATAACCAACCAAGCAATAATAACAACAAACACCAGTCACTATCAACGGGATAAATATGTAAGAGGTCATTTTCTTCACTTATCTAGGAAGCATCGATCCGACTTCAGATCCACTGCACGGATAAGGATGTCAAAACCAGAATCGGAAAGGCAACGTACTCAGTACGGAGATCTTCTACCCTTCGCAGCATAATGAACAAAATTCGAATTCTCAACATCCGTTTTAAGTCAGTCAGTTCTTCTATATGAGTCAGGAAATTGGTGCTAGCATTACAAAGAGCATTTCCTATAGGCCACTGAGGACTTTCATCAACAGTTGCCTTCACTGGCTCCATAATGAAGACCAGATGAACAGAAACAATTAGCAAGAAGAAACTCTGGAACGAGCCACTCGTGAACCTGTTGCTCAACAAGTAGGCCGAGAAGAATGGAGATGGATAGGACACGCATGAAATTGCGAGCCAGGTATTCTCTTGAGTGGAACCAGAATAGAAAGAGACGAGTTAGGTGTCCGAGGGTGACATGGGGGAGACGGTGCGAGGAGGAGATGTTAGACTATGGCAAACTTTGGGATCAGCTGAAGAGGACAGCAGAGAAAAAGAGAGGATAGAGATGTTCTGTTGGAGCTCTACGTTCTACTTGGAACCAAAGGGAATAATACTAATTTTGTATGTAATTAGGTTTCAGGACTTTCGTGCTTGTTTTGACCTCTAACTTCTCGTTTCTTACCACAGTTTAAGTGCTTTCTTCTTCAAGGTATTCTTTTTACTTTCTTAAATCCTTGTTTTTGTGGTTGTGTCTATTTTATTCTTGAGTTTCCCTATTTCATCCTCTCTTTTTTATTTCGCTCTGGGTTTTTCGTCTTCCCTGTTAATTTCCGCTTTAACTATTTTTTCGATTTTTGTGTATTTTTCCCTTCTTTTCTTCTGATACGTACTGTGGATATTGGTATTGTTTACATAATCAGTATATTATAAAACAGGGATGAATAATGAAAATTATAACTAGGACGCGTGAAGATTAGAAAGTTTAGACCAAAGTTTACGTTATGCGAAAAATGCTCAGCAAGAATTGGGTGTTAATGGAAGAGCATTCAGTGCTGCTATCTACAGATGGCAAGATGATGTGGCTATGGGTTCACTTTTAAGCCCAGTACTTGCAGATATTTTCATGGCAAGTTTGGAAATCGTTCCACTGAAATCGACAGTCGATAAATGTTTCCTGTACAAAATATATACTGATGATACTTTTGTCATTTGTGAAATAAATATCACTTAAATACTGTCCTGCAAGTTTTTAATAGATGCTACTCAGGCATCAAATTTACAAATGAAGCAGAAGCTATCCAGTCTCCTTCCTGGACGTTTTACTAACAAAGAAGGCTGATGGCACACTGAACAGATCAGTATATAGAAAACCCATATCGAACAGCCCGTTGATAAACTTTTGTAGTTGAGAACTCATAAACCTTAAGCGGAACTTGATAATATCTCTTGCATCTAGAATCCGAATAATCTGCAGCCCAGAATCAGTAGATGTAGAGATCACTCTTTTGAGGAAAACACTATTTGAAAATAGCTACCCCTACTCTATAGATAAACATATATAGCCCAAAACCAAAAAAGCACCCCATCTCTATGACGAAGAGGATACTAGACATGAATGTGGCATTCAAAGGCGACATTCTAGCTGACACTCAAAAGAAGAGTATCTCAAACGCCCTGAAAAGAACACTCTTTGCTGCAACATTAAGTTTGGTATTTTCTTGCTGTCCAATGATCTCCAATAACTCTGTCAATGAACAGTCGAATTCGACTACTTCATTGTGTATCTGTCTACTGACTTACTTGCTTAAATGAAGCCAGATATATAGGTCCTTCTATAAGTGTTCTATCCAAAAGAGTCAAAGAACATTACTGGCTAAGAAAAGGTAATAGTGGATGAATAAGGAGTGCTATAAGTGAGCATATATATATATATATATATATATATATATATATATATATATATATATATATATATATTCAACACTGGCCACTCAATATTCAAGGAAAGTTCATCGAAGTTGTCTACAAATTCAGAAGAAGCATTGCTGAGGCCATAGTGGTTTGGGTGGAAAATCCTGATTTATGTTCACAGAATGAACTTCTCCTTCGACTTTGGGTATAATTTCAAGCTCACCTATTCTCAATATTTTGTCAATAATACTATTCTCTTTCCGCCTGTTTTCACAGGACACTCATTAACATCATTTCCTTAACTAGCCTTCTATTTACTCTCTTCAACTACTTCATAATTGATTTTGATACTTGTCTCCATATTCTTTCATTAACATCCAATTTTTTCTAAACGTTTTTCATATTTCTCAAGCTTTCGTCTAAACTTACTAATTTTCACGCGTTCTAGTGCGTCGGCGGCACAGTGGTTAGGACTCTCGCCGACCATGCATATGGTCCGGGGTTCGATCTCCAGCCGACGCACACCCCATATCTATGGTCGGCTTGTAAAATTTGGGCTACCGATATCACATGCTAAAAAATTCCATACCTGTACCAAAAAATACGGTGTGGAATCAAGCTGTAATAAAAAAAAATAGTCATAACTTTCATTATTCATCACTGTTTTATGGATATCTCCTTTATACAGTGTGTTATGTTTCAATGGTTTCGGTCTTCTTCCTTGCCTTTTTTTGGTACTGTTTGACGTCTTTCTACATTTTTCTTCTTTTAATGCTTAGAGTCACGTGTAATCTTTTGTGTTTCTCCAATAACTTCTGTGCTTACTGAAGCAATGCATGTTTGCTGTCAAGGTTTTTTGAACACACGCCTGCACCCGTATGTCGCCAACTGTTAGTTTACACATGTCATAATTCATTTTATTCAAAATAGTTCACATATTTTCTGAAAACGCCACTTATATATATATATATATATATATATGTACACGTGTGCCATAGTAAAGATATGCACTCAAGTTTTTTTTTCTAAATAAGTTAGACAAACTGCCATAAATCAATAAAGTGACTCAATAAAATCGATTTTGTGTTCTAATTTTTTTTCTCTTTCTGAATAATTCATTTGAATGAATTTTATCGAAATGAAATTTACCAACCAAACAGTGGTTAACTGATACGACGGAATGTAAAATTTGAAAGCTAAATCTTGCTTGAATTTCTGTTTTAAAATTTCTCACTTAAAACTCTAAAGGATTTAATTCATTTAATGGAGTCGATGATCTGACTGAAACGTTGTCAATTCTGATTCAAGTATGTTAAAATTGTGTATTATTCCTGGCTATCTTAGTTAATTCATAATGCTATTGATGTTTTAAAGGAATAATGATAATAATGTGTCTCAACAGTTACATACAGGGTAGTATAACAGATGATGAAAGTGTATTTGCTATGTCAATTTCTGACAATTTGAGCCTTGTAAGACAAGGAAAACTTTATACCTTGAGTTGACTAGTTAGAATTTTCAACTCTCCAGTCACATAAGTCACAATTTTACTCTCTATGTGTATGTAAAGTATTTAGTTCCATATTGATTTTTTAATCAGTCATCTCCCTATAGTGAAGCAGGTTGTTCAATGCACAGATATTTGAACATAATTTATTACTGATAACTATATTAAATATAACCGTATAACTCTGACACTTGGTTTTCACAGTTCTATGCTCGTTTGTTTACCTCCAAGTCTATCGACCTCATTAAGCAAGCATTATTGGTTAATCCTCAGTGATTAATCAGTATACCGATAGCAGGCGTACAGGAAGCAAATCCCTGGCTTGAATAGTTCATTCGTAATGTTTAAGACTGAAGCAGGGGGTTGGCGATGATGCGAATCCCTGAGGGAGGGACATGAGCTCCTTTTTGTGTCAAAGATAATAGGACTTTTGGTGAGCGCCAGGGATTTTGAAACCCAGATTCAGGGATTCCTTCTGATTATTATTATTATTATTAATCCCTAGAGGAACATAGGGCTTCAGCCGTGTATCTCCATTGCGTTCGGTTCTCTGCTAGAGTCTTCACCTGGCTCCAAGTCTGCCCACACGTTTTCATCTCCACTTCACATGACCTCCTCCAAGTCACCCTCGCACTGATGACCAACTAGCCGCTTCCCTTTCGGGTTCCACTCGAGCGATGGCTTGTCTAGTGATGTCACTTGGTGGTTTCCTCAGAGTATGGCCAATCCATCTCCATTTCTTCCTGCATATTTGTTCCACAATCGGTTCCTGGTTGGTTCGCTCATTGCCGGAGATCTCTGTTGCTGATCTTATCTGGCCGGCCATCTGATCTTGAGCGGTATTGAGCGAAGACAACTGTTAATGAAGGTCTGTAGTTTGTTTGAGATGCTCTTTATGACGCGCCAAGTCTCTGATCCGTATAGTAGCACTGACTTCACGTTGGAGTTGAAAATCCGGATCTTATTTTTGATGCTGAGAGCTGTTGACCTCCACACAGACTTGAGAGTAGTGAAAGCTTGTCTTGCTTTTCCGATTCTTGCTTTGATATCCTCGTCAGTTCCGTCGGCCTGTAGTTGAAACGATGCTTCCCAGGTAGGTAAAGGAGGTTGTTTCTTTCAGGTTCCTTCCATTTATGCAAGGAATACAAATTTCTTGTACTCCTTCTGATTAAGAACAACTATCCAACATCATTTCAAAATGTACTGCAATGGACAGTCATCTACCTTAGTGAAAACATTACAAAATTGACTGCAATAGTTAATTCATCACTAAGGACTAGATACATGATACGCCCCAGTGATCAATACGTACAGACGTTGACTTTGTGGTTTTCGTATACTTTACGCATGAGTATAACTCTGAACTATACAATGATATCAAAATCAGACATAAAAGAGAACTAACATGGTTTGCAAGACATATTAAATCGTTCTAGGCAATGGAGACTGATTACATTCTTTTAGAATTGTTCAGACTGATTCAATCACATACGTGTTTTATCTGTATGCTATCTGCACACCTTACGCGAGTTGGAGAAATTATATGATCGAATAATAGTTTTGTAGGGAACTGAGGTGGATTTTTTTCCCACAAACTGACATCAGTAAGAACCATTAAAAACGAGGAAGCAATGGACCGCTATTTCTTCTGCTGTTGCTTCTGCAGCAATCTGCTGATATTCCATTCTTTTGTAACCCGTCTTTCTGCATTAAGCGGTCACATCTTTGGAAGACGAATTTCCTCACCAGTTAGATAATATTACAGTATAACACTTTCTTGCACGGAGGAAAACTTATGTTCACCGGAGGTACTATATAAGATATATATATCATCATTCAATCAGTTACTAAATGTTCTTTAATAATACTTACATCTAGGTGAGTCATTCAAAGCGCTCAAAAGTGGAATACTGACCACTGACCAAACTTTTCCTATTCATGCACAAGATTCTAAATAATCTGTTGTATGAATGTTAATGATACTGACTAAATGACTAAAGTTTTATGAGTAAAATGGGGGTCAAAATTCAGTAATAAGAAGATGTAGTTGACACTACCTAGAAACATGGCTCTTAAACTTGGGAAGTCCAAGATTGTAACTTGACTCTTCTTTGGTAGTTTTCCCCTATTGTTTTTTCCCAGCTGAATTAACAGTAGTGGTTCTTTTCATTATTATAAGGGTATCTTTTACCCTTATCCATAATTTTGAAGGTTCCGCTGTTTTGCATACAGTTCTATTCACTACACAAGAGACATAAAACTGACAGGCTTATGTTTACATCAGTATGTTTGTTCCTGTTGATATAAGAATAGAACCTGGGCGCTGTGTTAGAGTGTAACTCCATCACAGAGTAAATTTGTCTGAAAAAATCACACAGTAGTATACGGTATTACACTAAATAATACTGTATACCACTGTGAGATGTTTTCAAATAAATTCACTCTATGATGGCGTTGTAAAGGGAAAGATGGGAGAATCGGTAACGGAATTTTTTTATTAAGGAAAAACGCAACAAATTTATGCATTTTTAACCACATTAAAAGTCAGCTAGGTCAGCGAAAAACAAAATTAATCTGAATGGTTGGAGATTAGACCAATGTTAAACGATGAGACGAAAAATTGTCCAGTGACGTTACTGCATGTCCATATGGTAAATTAGATCCGGATTTGCGGAGGAATAAACACTTCTGCTTCTTCAGCCATTAACCTCAAATGCTGATTTCAACTTTGGCCGCATCCTATCGACCTACATCAGTATTAGTTTTTTATTATATTATTATTCCTTTGCGTTCCGAGTGGAACATAGGGCTTCAGAGAGACATCTCCACTTTGTCCTCTTCAGCTGGGTCCACGATTGCCCATAATCTATCATCTCTTCCTCAAACGATCTTCTACATGTCACCCTCTCGCCGACCACCCACTTGTCGCTTCCCATTTGGATTCCACTAGACTGATAGCTTGGTGCGCGATGTCATTCGACGGCCTCCTCAATGTGTACCCGATCCATCTCCATTTTCTCCTACATATCTGTTGACAGATCGGCTCTTGGTTGATTTGTTTCCACAGTTTCTTGCTACTTATTCTTTCTGACCGGCTGGCCATTTGATCTTCAGTATAGAACCAGCGAAGGTGGCAGCTGTTGATAAAAGTCTGCAGTAGCCTGTTGGAAATCCTTCTGCCGGCCAAGTTTCTGACCCGTATAGAAGAACTGACCGACTTTACATTTGTGTTGAAAGTGCGAAACTTGTTGTTTATGCTGGCTGAGTGCAGAAGATTTCCAAACTGGTTTCAGGTTGATGAAGGCGTATGTATCTTGTCTTTCAGATTCGGACTGGCTGGCTGTCTTTGACATCATCCGTTCCGCTGTCTGCAGTTGAAACGATGCTGGCTTCCTAGGTAAGTGAAGGCAGCAAGTAACCTCTGTTAAACCTCTGCCCCTGATGGTGATTGATGCTGTTTGTTGTTGTTTCTGTTGTTGTTGGTCGGTTATATTCATCACTTCCGTCTTCCCTATGTTCACTTGGAGTCTTGTCTTCACTGCCTCTTCAACCACCTTGTCGCTTTTCTCCCATAAGTGCTCGAATTTTTGTGACATACCATTTGCGAAATCCAGATCTTCTAGAGCCTTCTCATCAGTGGTCCAGCGTATTCCTATCTCCTCGCTCCCAAGCACAGTCTGACGCATAGTCCGGTCCACCACAATTAAGAATATCATCGTGGGTGATAATAGACAGCCAGCGCTGTCTCACTCTTGTATTCACTTGGAACGCCCAGCTGAGTGGGTTTCCCGTTGTGAACCACCTGATAGGTGGCATTGTCACATAGCCAGCTGTTGAATGAGGTTGATAAAGATTTTGGCACTGCACGCCGTAGTGTTGAAGCAGTTTCCAAATTACTTGTTGGTCAAGGCTGCCTGGTGAAGGGGTTTTTCGATGTCGATGAAATTGAGGTAGAGGTTGAGGTTCGACTGTCACTCTATGCTCTTCACGATAATAATGATGATGATGGTGCGTAGTGTTGTAATTCGATCAGCACATGATTTGCCTTCCTTGAATACTGCTAGCTTGTTCAGGTGGGGTGGCGGAGTTCTGTATCTGGTGGATCTTTCATTCTCTCCAGGATGAGGCGACTGAGTATCTTACTTGGCGTGGACAAGAGCATTATTCCACGCCAATCAGTTCTTGCACAGGCCTAAGTCGTCCTTCTTTGGCAGCTTGACAAGGTGGCCAGCCTTCCTACCAATCGGTAGGTACCTTTCCTTCCTTCTTTCCAAACCTTTTGCAATAATGACGTGAGAAGATCTGCGGCAGTCTCTTGGTCCGTTTTCAGTGCATCGAAGGAGGATGTGGCGTTCCGTCTGGTCCTGCTGCCCTCCCGACCAACGTTCAATAGCTTGATTGCATTTAGTATTTCTGCTTTCGTTGGAGGATTGGTGTCGACTCGCAGGAATTTCTGTGAGCGCTGTTGTTGTTGTTGCTGGTGGTGGTGGTGCTATTTCAGGAGAACTTGCATGTGATGCATGATTCGAGAGTCCTTTGAAGTGATCAGCCCGTTGTTTATTTGTTTCTCCTCCTTGGTAATCAGGTTCCCTTGAGCATCTATTATCGGTTTCATCGTCTGGTTATCTGATATAATGTCCTGAAGTTTGTTTTACCTGTGGCCTGCCTGTTCTGCTTCAGTGGTCAGTCATTGTGTCGTAGAATTGTCGTTTGTCTTTCTCAGCACTCTTCTTCACTTCTTTATTCAGTGCAGTGTACATTGAACCTAGCTTCTCCTTCTGTTGTGCATGATTGTATTGA